ACAGAGCAGATTGGCACTGGTCATCAGGGCACTGATGATCAGTGCCTTGCAGTAGCGCCCAGCAGTGCCACCCACCAATGTCCAGCAGTGCCACCCACCAATGTCCAGCAGTGCCTCCTACCAGTGCCCAGCAGTGCCCCCATCAGTGCTGCCCAGCAGTTGCGCCCATAAATGCCCATCAGTAAGCGCTGCTCATCAGTGCCACCCATCAGTGCCACCTACCAGTGATCATCATTGCTGCATATCAGTGCAGCATCATCAGTGCCTCCTCATAAATGCCCAGCAGTGCCCCCTCATCAGTTCCACCTCATCAGTGCAGCCTATCAGTGCCCATCAATGCTGCCTATTTGTGTCACCATCATCAGTGCTGCCTATCCGTGCCCATCAGTGCTGCCTATCAGTGCAGCCTCATCAACGCACATCAGTGTAGGAGAAAAATTACCTGTTTTCAAAATTTTATAATAGAAAAACTTATTTTTTTCTAATTTTTTGCTCTTTTTTTTATAGTGCAAAAAATAAAAAAAGGGGCGATTAAATACCACCAAAAGAAAGCTCTATTTGTGTGAAAAAAATGATAAAAATTGTGGGTACAATGTTGCATGACCACTTAATTGTCATTCAAGGTGAGACAGCGCTGAAAGCTGGCCTGGGCATGAAGGGGCTATAAGTGCCCAGTAGGCAAGTGGTTAAATACTGCATGTCAGGACATGCAATGTATATATAGCACTGATTCTACCTTGACGTAAAGTGAATTTTACCTATTAATTTGCTCAAACAGGCAATTTTCTGTGTAATTACATCTGATTTAGGATTTCTACTTAATACACACTGTAGTGTATGCTCTTACATGTGTTCTTTTTTTCCTTCTTTACCTATGTCCAGCATACATCCCCATGACTAAGCTCCGTGGATGGAGTGAAATGCGTTGTGGTCTGGCTGGAGTCCTAGCTGAGGCTGTAACACTTTCTTACCTGGGGCTTGTAAAGATGTACGGCTCATATAGACATTTTCTTCCCTGCACTTTGCTGTCTTGAGCAGGGATGAGCTCCATCCTAGCCTGCACTCATAGTGGCTGGCTTTATTGATTGGAACCCTTACAGTCTGAGCAGCAGCCACAATTTCAGGTTTGGGGTCACTATGTCCAGCATACAACTCTCTTCCATCAAGTTCCATTTTGAGAAGCAGGACTGTGTACTGACTCAGGAAGGTGTGAACCCAGGGGTGGACTGACCATTTTGGCTCTCGGGCCCGGGGTCAGTAGGGAGCCCCATGAGATGCCCCTGGTATCTTTCATAGGCATTTTTGGGTGTGATTTGAGTGTGGGCCAAGAACACAGGGGCCCCGTGATCCCCTATTGCCCAGGGGCCCTATGAGTTGTCAGTCCACCCCTGTGTGAACCCTACCAAGTAAACGCAGTATTGAAATACAATTGTCTTTTCAACAAGGAAAGATTTAAGGTATAACTCAATAAAGAAGGTAAGCATGATTACTGACATAGCCTTTACTTTTAAAATACAATAAATCTCATTCTGGTCCCCTGTATGAAAATTGCAGATCCTTGCTCAGTTACCCTTTTATGAGTTTGTATCATCCTCTTCATGCAGGGGAACCATTCTCACAGAATATGATGCCTTGCGGGGAAAGGCATGTAAAAAAATGATGTTACATGGTTGAACTAAGCAAATGTGTGCCCTAAACCTTAACAGTTCATTTAAATTGGTGTAGAAATGACTTCTGGATTTTCAAATCCTGTTGAAGTGATTAAAGATAATAGCAAAGTTCAGCAATGCATTGCAACCAGAAATTACATATTAGCTGAGCCCGTTGAGTTGAACTCTGATTCCTTGTCATAGGTTACCATCCTCTGGATATCCTGTTTCTACATTTTGGAGAATAAACAGAATGAGAAATCTGCAGAAGGGGGTTTATTTGATAAGGTAGTGTGCAGTACCCCCCTAGCAATCAATCAAATTAGCATTTGCAGCAAACTAAGAAATACTGCCATATTACTCATACTTGATAAGTGATAGGGCTTTGTCATACTGCCGGGAAGACTCTTCCCCTCCAGCAAGTCAGGTACTTCAGTCATAGCCATTTTCTCCTTAAGGGGGAACTCTAGTGCCTTAAAGAATATGAATGACATCAGCTTGAAGTAAATAAATCTATAAGCCTGTATTACTGTTTTTCAGTAATTTTTTTCCTTGTAGGTGCTCATAAAATTTCAGTTTACGATTGCAAAAACGAAGATATATAAATAATAAAACCATTTTGTAAAAAAAAAATAAATAAATATCAAGTTATACAGTTAGTGTAATATTTAATTATCACTCTTAAAAACTGATATCATTGTTGATCTGTCAGGTTTTCAGACTGCGAATATATTGTATACTTGGAGGTATACTCCCCATGCTAGGACTATGTATTTTGACTGTGGTACCTGTGAAGGGGGACTGAAAACAGTTTTGGAAAAGGGTGACAGTAATGTAAAGGAGGGGGCTGCCATGTAAACGAGAGGGTATGATGTGAAGGGGGGAGGGGGGGCTGTAGACACTGATATCAAGATAGAGAAACTGTGATGTAAAGGGGGGATTTTTTATGTTAATAGTGGATTGTGATGTAAAAGGGGGGGGGGCTAAGGACACTGATGTGAAGGGGGCATGGTAATGTGGGGGGGGGGGGGGGGTTATGAATACACTGATGTAAAGAGAGGGTCTTCGGCATAAAGAGGGAGCTGTGGTATGGATGGGGAAATTAAGAAAACTGATGTAAAGGGGGCTGTGATGTGAGGGGGGACTGAAGACACTGATGTAAGAGGGGTGACTGTAACATAAAGAAAGGAGGGGGAGGGGGACTGTGATGTATAAGTTGAGATTTGGAGATTTTGCTTAGATAACTCCAATCCCTCCCCAAGTGTTGGCCTCACTTTCCCATTTTTCCCAACTGTATCTATGGGTGCTGGGCCAACTTCTTGAATGGTTCTGTTTAGATGGTGAGAATGCACCAACTCATTGCTCCTCCTTTGTGACCCAACTGCTTCACCAAGCTTAGTAGGTGAAAACTGGGCTCAATATATATATATATATATATATTATATATATATATATATATATATATATATATATATATATATATATATTTAAAGACACAGAGAGAGTGCCTATTGCTTATTTCATACATTATGAAACAAAGGCAATAAAAGTAGATATCTATAAAAGGAGGTTTATTAACCTCAGGTACACATGCAATCATTTCATAATTGAATATAATTTTGTTTCCTAGGAGATTAATTTACTAACTTTAATCTTTTCTGTAATTAAATTTTAATTTATTTTTTTGTTAAAACTTACTTAGTTTATTCTCTATGATTAAACAGGCTGGACATACATTGGGGTTGATTTACTAAAAGCAAATAGGCTGTGCATTGCAAGTACTCTTGGAAGTGCACTGAATGTGCACTTCCTCTAGATCCTAGGGGAACATGCAAGGAAAATTAAAAAAAAAAAACAAAAAAAAAAATGCAACATTTTTTACACATGATTGGATGAAAGAAATCAGCAGCTTTGCCTCATTTCAGAGCTTCCCCTTGGATCTAACTTGCAGTGCACAGCCTATTTACCTTTAGTAAATCAACCCCATTATCTCACATAAAACTACATTTATTAAATGTTTATTTTTTTCGCTTTCAACTAACAGATTTTCAATTCTGTATCCCTAGCCACAGTACTTACATTTTACAAAGATTTTTACATGGGTGGTTGCTTCTTAAAATACAGTCTTCTGACTGGTGATAATTGTAAGATTTTATGAAGAATCTTTTGAGGAGAACAAAAAATGGTGTCGTTCAAGGTGGAGATAAAATAATGATTCATTAGCAAAAATATAAATCAATGAAATAAAACAAATGGCTTTTTACAATTATTTGATTAGGGGAAAAAAATGTACACCTATGCAATATTTATGTATGTACATTAAACATTTTGATAAGAAAATTAAAGAAGGACGCAATAATGAATACAAGGAAAATATCTCATGTATCCTAGTGACCTCATCACACTGTTATTTACTCCATTATTTACATCAGCATTATAAGACATCTGGCTCCCAGTGTTGTTGTGAACCATAGTGCTTAATTTTTGAAGTGAACTTCCTACAACCCATGGCACCTGTAAGATCAATTTTCCAGGACACACAGCTTTCACCCCTGTGTCCATGCCACCAGTAAAATCAGTGCTGCAACACATAGACTTCATTCCCTAATATCTGTGTTATCTTTGGTACCTGCATTCCAGAATGTGCAGCTCACACCCCAATATGTCACTATTATTATTATGATTATTATTATACAGGACATATATAGCGCCAACAGTTTGCTCAGCGCTTTACAGGGAGACAGTACAGTAACAATACAGTTCAATACAAGAGGGATTAGAGGGCCCTGCTCCTTGGAGCTTACAATCTAGGAGGAGAATCTAATTTAGATCTTCATACCGGCACACACACCTCATTCCCAAATAAGTAGAATTTTAATGCAAACTGTTTTTTTCAGGCACAGTGCAACTAACCTGCACCTCTCTATCACAAACAATCACTGTTTATATATATATACAGTACTGTGCAATCGTTTTAAGCAGGTGTAAAGAAATACTGTAAAGTAAGAATGCTTTCAAAAATATGTAATAGTTTATTTTTTATCAATTTACAAAATTCGAAGTAAGTAAACAGAAGACAAATCTAATCAAATCAGTATTTGGTGTGATTACCCTTTAGCTTCAATACAGCTTCAGTTCTTACACTTGCACACTTTGTACACTTACACAAAGTCAAACATTTTGTAGAATTAGGGCTCATGTACACGGGGTGTTTGGAAAACTCTTCTGAGCGATGAAAACTGACTGCTGGAAAACGTAGGTTATAAAACGTCAGTTTAGCCACGTTTGCATACCGCGTTTATGAGCGTTTAGCTGCGTTTATGCGCATTTGCGTTCAGAAGCATTTTTAAAAGATAAATAGTACATAACAGGGGCGGACTGACCATTTGGAAACTCGGGCACTGCCCGAGGGCCCGGGGTCAGTAAGGGGCCCCATGAGATGCCCCTGGTACCTTTCATAGGCTTTTTTGGGTGTGGTTTGAGTGTGGGCGAGCACACAGGGGCCCCATGATCCTCTATTGCCCGGGGGCCCCATGAGTTGTCAGTCCGCCCCTGGTACATAATTATCTATTTCAGACATTTTGAGAGAAATAGAGCAGAAGCAGAGAGAGCAGTATGTGTTGAGATGACCTATCTTTACTGGTTGTATTCACTATGGATCCCATCATGAGCATATGCAGCACGTTCTACCATTTTTTCCTTCACGAGAAATCTGCAATTGACTGCGCTGGTGTACCGGGTCCATTTGAATACATGGAAAATGCTTTGCATGCATTTCTGATGATGAAAAAAAAGTTCTGGACAGCATCTGGATATGGAACAGATAAAAAACGCTTCTAAACGCAAATGCATATAAATGCTGTTAACCACGTTTACAAGTGTTTGGCATTTGAAATGCTGGTAAAATCTACTCCTGAACGCAAGTTTAGTGCGTTACAAAAACGACTGTGAACTCAACTGCCTGTAAACGACTATGTGTACATGGACACATAGGAAAACATTAGGCAGAGTTCAAGGGCTCCTGAAAAAAATGCTGAACAGCTCCTGAACATCAGTTTAGCAGCTGCAGTGTACATGAGCCCTTAGAGTCAGGTGTATGATTAACTAATTATACCAAGCAACTGCTAATGATCATCAATTTAATCTGTAGGTTGAAATACAGTCATTAACTGAAACAGAAACAGCTGTGTAGAAGGCTTAAAACTGGGTGAGAAACAGCCAGACTCTGCTACTAAGGAGAGGTTGTGGAGGACAGTGTCATGTCACAAGTCAAACATCATGGCAAGACTGAGCACACAAGATAGTCATACTCAGGGGTGGACTGACCATTTGGAAACTCGGGCACAGCACCCAGGGTCAGTAGGAGGTCCCATGAGATGCCCCTGGTACCTTTTTCATAGGCTTTTTTGAGTTTGGGCAAGGACACAGGGACTCCATGATCCCCTATTGCCCGGGGGCCCCATGAGTTGTCAGTCCGCCCCTGGTCATACTGAATGAGCAAGATCTCCCCCAAGCACAGATTTCAAAGCAGACTGGGGTTTCAGGATGTGCAGTTCAAGCTCTTTTTCAGAAGCACAAAGAAATAGGCAATGTTGAGGACCGTAGATGCAGTGGTTGTCAAAAAAAACTTAATGCAGAAGATAGCACATCATGCTTACTTCTTTTCAACATCAGAAGATGCCCAGCAGTGTCATGAGTGCAGAACTAGTGGAAGCCAGTGGATCCCAGGTACATCCATCTACTGTCTAGAGAAGTCTGTTCAGAAGTGGTCTTCAAGGAAGTATTGCAGCCAAAAAAGCCATATTTAGCTGTAGCAGGAAGCAGTTTGTTCACTGAAGGGCTGGAGAGAGGTACAATAATGAGTATAAATAAACATACAGTGCTGTGCTTCCTTAAAATTCCCCAAAACACATATGAATGAAAACAAATATAAAATTATAGTGAACAATTCTGCTTGCAAAGTCTCTTAAATAGTGTTGCTTCTTCAACTTCAAAAAGAAATTCATAGCTATATATCTTCTTAAAGCTTAATCCACCACCACAAAAACCAGATGTGCCCTCACCTGGAGTTTTTGACCTCACGTCGTACAAGGTCAGGCAGTAGTGGGTGGGCTCTTTTCATGTGTCGGGAAGGTCACGTGGCAGGTTTCAGCGAATCCCTGAGCCCCGTTTCCTGACTGGCTTCCTCATGAGTGGTGACATACGTATGCTGAGTGGAGGAGGAAGGATTAAAGGGGCCGGTCACTACTGGAGGAAGATTTTATATACAAGATACACCCGCCATTGTATGTCCACTTCAAGGGACACATGCATTTTTTGACCTAACTTTATGTGAGGTCAAAAACTGCAGGTGAGGGAACATCTGGTGTTTGTGGTGGTGAATTAAGCTTTAAGAAGATAAAGAGCTATGAATTTCTTTTGAAGTTGAAGAAGCAACACTATTTAAGAGACTTTGCAATCAGAATTGTTCACTATATTTTATATTTGTTTGCATTCACATGTGTTTTGGGGCATTTTAAGGAAGCGCGGCACTCTGTGTTTGTTTTATATTTAGATTATGTACGTTATGAGTATGTGTAAGTGTGAACTGCTTTCTGGATTGCAGCTTTTTAGTTACACTCACTAAATATGTCAACATGGTATGTTATAATAGTTTTTGGCTGCTTGTGAGAATCAATTGGTTATAGTTGTACAATAATGAGTATCTGCGTGCAACAGTGAAGTAAGATGGAGGATCCTTGCAAGTTTGGGGTTGCTTTTCTGCAAATTGAGTTGGAGATTTGGTCAGGATCAACGTTGTCCTCAATGTTTAGGAATACAGGCAGATACTTCTCCATCATGCCATACCATCAGATAGTGGTGTCATTGGCCCCAAATTTATACTGCAGCAGGACAAAGACCCCAAACATACAGCCAATGTCATTAAGAACTATCTTCAGTGTAAAGAAGAACAAGGGGTTCTAGAAGTGATGGTTCAGCACCCAAAGATCCCTGATCTCAACTTTGAGTCTGTCTGGGATTTTCTGAAGAGATAGAAGTATTTGGGGAAGCCTACATCCACCGAATATCTGTGGTTGGTTCTCCAAGATGCTTGGAACTACCTACCTGCCGAGTTCCTTCAAAAACTGTGTGCAAGTGAATTGATGATGTTTTGAAGGAAAAGAGTGGTCACACCAAATATTAATTTGATTTGGATTTATTTTCTGTTCATTTACTTTCCATTTCATTAACTGATAAAAATAAGCTATTAACACTTCTTTTTCTGAAAGCAATTAACGGGCAGCATTTTTTCACACCTGCCTAAACCTTTTGCACAGTAATATATATATATATATATATATATATATATATATATATATATATATACTGTATATATAGTCAATCAGTAGTTGCTATGCTGTGACTAACTGAAATGTCTGTGTTGTGAATAGATTGACTAGCAGTCAAACTGTGCACACAGCTGACTACATACCTTTCTTTCTCTAATGTTGATGGCAACAGCATCCTTTACAAACTGTGCCAAGGAAGCACCCTATGATAGTTGAGCACCTATAATAGTTGTGCATCTAAAGCTTAAACATTTTATTTTAGTAATGAGGTGAGGGTATAGGACCCATCAGGGTTTAATTGTAGTCTGTGTCCCTTCTAGGGAGATTCACTCTCTGTATTGGTCCTGGTGGCCATTTTCATGGGGACTGAAAGTGGGGAATAAATCCAACATATTGAACTAAATTCACCAGAACAGAAATAGAAGCGAAATAAAAGGAGAATATTTCAAAATGGACACCTGTCATTGTAGTGGCTGTTTAAGAGGGGATTTCACTGTTTCCCTGACTTAGGGAATTGTTCCAATCTTTTTTTTCCAGTAAAGGTATATATATACAGTATATACATACACAGTATACATAATGTATTATAATTTTTATAAGAAATCCATTATAGATTTATTTTAAGTGAGTTAATTTAATCATTGAGAATTTTTATGGGACATGGAGAGAAATCATATATAACACGATCTTTTGTATATAAACTTGCTGTTCCAAAGCTAGTTGCTGAGTAAGTAGAATTTGGTATGGTTTCCCTCACACTATGTGGTTCAGCATGTAGAGGCATTTGATTAGTGCACAGTAGGATAAGGAGTAACCGGAGGCAGTTAAAAGGTACTGCTGACAAAAGCTGAAATGAACAAGCACATGTTCCTCAAAAATAAAGAGATATAAACTGTTCTGACAAATAATGAAGGAGCCACGAATTGCCATGTTGATTATCTCTCTATAAGACTCTTTCAGTTATTCTAGGAAAGTTTAAGATAGTTCCCAGTCTATTGACTTATATCTTGGAAAGCACTGTCTCTGAAAGAGGTGCGTCATGCTGCAATTCATTATTATCATGCGGGAGCAAGCATAAATAAACCATGATCCTGCTATCACCAAGGGCAGCAGTAGTCAGCCAGCTAAGGATGTTTTTGTAATAAAATTGACCTAACCTTTGACGTGTTTGTAGCTCTTAAGGGTTTTGAGAATTCTATTACAGCAGAGGTTTAAAGATGCTCTATGACATGTTAAGTGCCAGGAAGGAAATCTATGGCTTTCCAGCTATTGTTGAAATATGACCCTGCAGCCTGGAGCTACACACTGGGAGTTCTAATTTAACATTTTATTTTTCTTCAAACCATATACAGAAAGAAATATCAGGCACTGGTGTGGTTGTTGTCAAAACCAAATCCCTTTTAGGTATCTAAATACTGTATTTGCACCACTGAAATGATTAACCACTTGTCTACCAGGCATTTTTATCCCCTTCCTGCCGAGGCCAATTTGCATCTTTCAGCACTGTCGCACTTTGAATGACAACTGTGTGGTCATGCAACACTGTACCCATAAGAAATTGATATCATTTTTTTTTACACAAATAGAGATTTCTTTTGGTAGTATTTAATCACCACTGGGTTTTCTATTTTTTGCACTATAAATGAAAACAAAATAAAAAATTTTAAAGAAATTCTCTGTTTGTTATAAAATTTTGCAAATAAATTTTCTATACAAATGTAGGCAAAAATGTATTCTATTACATTTCTTTGGTGAAAATAACCCAAATCAGCGCTTATTATTTAGTTGCTAGGAAAGTTATAGAGGCCACAAACTATACAGTGAAGGAAATAAGTATTTGAACCCCTGCTGAGTTTGAATGTTTTCCCACTCACAAAGAAATGATCAGTCTAAAAATCGAACAGTAGGTGTATTGTAACACTGAGACACAGAATAGAAACAAAAAAAATCAAAAGAATTGCATGTCTAACAAATTATGCACTGATTTGCATGTTCATGAGGGAAATACGTATTTGATCCACTTCACAAAACATGACTTAGTACTTGGTGACAAATCCCTTGTTGGCAATCACAGAGGTCAAACAGTTCCTGTAGTTGGCCACCAGGTTTGCACACATCTCAGGAGGGATTTTGGCTCACTCCTCTTGGCAAATCCTCTCCAAGTCATTAAGGTTTGGTGGCTGATGTTTGACAACTCAAACTTTCAGCTCCCTATACAGATTTTCAATCGGATTAAGGCCTGGAGACCTACTAGGCCACTCCAGGACCTTAATGCGCTTCTTCTTGAGCCACTCCTTTGTTGCCTTGGCCGTGTGTTTTGGGTCATTGTCATGCTGGAACACCCATCCATAACCCATTTTCAATGCCCTGGCTGAGGGAAGAAGGTTCTCACACCCAAGATTTGATGGAACATTGCCCCGCCCATCGTCCCTTTTTATGCGTTGCAGTTGTCCTGTCCCCTTAGCAGAAAAACACCCCCAAAGCAGAATGTTTCCACCACCATGTTTGACAGTTGAGATGGTGTTCTTGGGGTCATAGGTCAGCCTATCTCATTTCTCAAAGCCCAAAAATGCCAGGACAATACAAATACCCCCCAAATACATCACTGGCCAATGGCTATGGAAAAAGAATGAGTGCACTTTCAAACAAAATCCACTCTCTGCCCCTCAAGTTGCATACTTATATCTTGCCAGTAGATCTTCAGTGCACTGGCTAGGAATAGTGTGAAAAGTATGTGTACTTTGTTTGAAAATGGATTTATTTCTAGGACCCAGCTGTTGTCTTGACAAAAATTCAAAATATTAATATTAATAAGGGCACAATTAAGGCTGCATATTTTGGGGAAAAAAAAAGAGTGCTTTGGAAACTGATGGTGTTGTACTGTATGGTACTACTATGTTCATATACAGTGGAACCTCAACCTACGAGCGAACTAACGTGCGAGTTTTCCGAGATACGAGCAGTCGCTCGGACGATTTTTTGCTTCAGCACGCGAGCAGAATTTTAAGATACGAGCTCGAGGCGCACGCAGCTCTAAGTGTATATTTTCGAGGCGCGCGCAGCTCAGAGGGTACGAGTCACAGCATCCCATCTCCGGGCCTTTCTCTCTCTCTCACTGTCTACACGTGATTGAAATCCCAACTTCTAACTTTGTTGTAACCATGGCACCAAAGAAAGCAAGTGGTAGTGCGAGTACCGAGAAGAGGAGGATGATGTCCCTCGAAATAAAGCTTGAAATC